GAGAGAGTGAGAGAGAGAGAGAGAGAGAGAGAGAGAGAGAGGGAGAGGGAGAGAGAATTAAAAATATATTCTTAAATATTAGGATGGGGAGACTTTCCTAAGCAAGACATAAAATCAAAAGAGATGAATTATCATATTTACAGATTAAAATTACTCTAAAAACTATGTGCCAAAAAGGCATATAAACAAAGTTTAAAAACCAGGAGGAATTATGTGCAAATACACAAGGGACAACAGATTCAAACCTATAATTTTGAGTTTCTATGAATTCATAGAAAAGGCAAGCTAATGGGGAGTCAAGAACAGAGTCTGGAGCCCAACCACATGGGTTCAGCTCCTCAGTCTGACACCCTGGGCTGGTGACTTCAGCTCGGGTGCCCAGGCTGCAGAATGGAGACATCATCATACCCATTATGGGCTGTCTGTGTCTCCCCAAAATTTGTATGTTGAAGCCCTAACTCCCAGTGTGATGGTATGAAGAGGTGAGCCTTTTAGGAGGTAATCAGGTTTCCATGAGGTCTTGAAGGTGAGACCCTTGTGATGGGATCAGTATCCTTGTAACAAGAGGAACAGACAAGAGCTCTCTGTCTCCCTGAGGAAGCACCAAGGAGAGATCAGGTGAACACACAGGGGGAAGGCAGTCATCTACAAGCCAGGAAGAGAGGCCTCACCACACACCGAGTCTGCTGCTGACTTGATCTTAGGCTTCCCAACCTTCAGAACTGTAGGAAATGAATTTCTATTGTTTAATAGGAAATACCTCTATGGTATTCTGCTATGGTAGCCCGTGCTGGCTAAGACAGCGCCTGTCTCAGAAGGTGCGGAGAGGATGCGATGTGTAAAACCACGTGAAGACCTTACACCAGTGCAGTGCTTCGACATTTCAGAGTTAACCAAATGTGAGGGGAAGAAAGGCAAACAAGAAAAAAGGGGCTAAAGACTACTAACTACACAATTCACAGAGAAAACACGAAAAGATATTCTATCTTAGTGGCAGCATTACAGTGTGCTGGCCGGCCGGACACAAATGGAACTGGCTGGAAGCATCCTTCCTGAGTGTGGGTGTGGAGTGTGGACCCGTCACCTGCTGTCAGAAGGCGTGGGAAGGGCTACCAAATAAAAATGGTGCCTATTCTTGGCAACCCATCGTCTCTCCCTGTTCTTAGTTAGCAACCTTTAGCTTCTTGCCATTTCAAAGGAGATTCGGTGTCAGAGCCCAGCAAAGGGCGACTGAAGCTGAAAATTCCCCTGGGGTAATGAACATCCACATTCTAAAAGTATGCTGCCATGGCGGAGAGACATGCTGTGGGCAGGGCAGAAGCCAGAGAGGATTCAAAACGCGTCTTGAGAATGGAGCATTCATCAAACCTAACTGAGAGTGGGCCACATGTGAGCGATCGCCCCGAGCGTGCAGAAGCAGGCTCCCGAGAAAACCAGGGGCGAGCACCTAAGCTTTTAGGGAGGAAGCACTTACTGTCCATCCAGACCTGTGGTCACTTACATAAACGTACAACCCCTCTTGTCTACATAGTACGGGGCGGGGGACACAAATGACTGTGACCCTGCGTGGATGTAGGTGGAAATTCCAGAATATTGTGTAAATTCTCAAAAAGGCATCAGAGGTAAAACGGACTGTGTATGAGTCAGTCTTCATAGTTGCAAAAACCTCTATGATACAGTGGGTTTAAGTAACAATCAGAGACTTGCGCGTGAGGTTTGGAAGAACTCCTGAACCCAGAGGACATTAAATATGGCGGGATTTTTGTCTCTGCCTCTGGAGGTGGTGATTTTTAACAACATGACTCAGACTCTGAATGGCGGCTACATCTGAGAGCAGCTGGAGCACACTCTCCAGAGGTGCCCTGCCCCTTTCGGCATCCTGCAGCTTGCTCTTTAATTCCCCTTTGTCCAGGGACTCGGGTCTTCCACGCTCAGGGAGGAAATACACAAACCCACACCCTGCCGCAACCCACAAGGAATGGCAAGGAGGGGAGGGCTCAGACTGGGGGTTAGCTGGGAGATTCCCAGCAAACAGAACCAGGGCAGGCGGCTGGTAACCCTCCAGGAGCTGCCAGCAGGGAACTCAAGAGTTCAATTCCCAGACCTACCACCACCGCCCCCCAGTAGCACAAATGGATATACACACACCACACACATGTATGCATCAACACATGTACTTGTGCACACACACACACCAGGCACGCACACTTTCACAGACACAACATGCCAGATATACTGTACACATGTGCACACAGCACACACAAACACGCTAGACACATACCCCACACCACACACTACCCCATGTGTCTGGCCACACACGAGACATGCTCATATGCATACCACACATGTACACACACACAACCCACCAGACACACTATGCACATACACCACACCACACATGCTGTTACCACATGCATGCACACACATACACAGATGCACACTTAGGCACCGTATCACTCCCCACACTACATGCACATACGAGCTCACATACACACACGTACGTATATACACTCTCAAGCCACACATCACACACAGACCCACACCCGCCCGGCCCTCCTCTACCTGAGCAGGTGCTCTGAGCAAGCGCTGTCTGCTGGCAGGTCTGGAAGTCGGGCACCTGCAGCTCATCCCGTTTTCTTCTTTCTTCTACCTGGAATGGCTGGAGGCTTGGGAAGTCTTTCCCGAGAAGAAAATGAAAGAATTGATTTTTCCTGCAGCCGCAGCACTACTGGGGAAGGCACCTGAACAGACGCCAGGCTATGATCCGAGAGCAGGCCTGGGCTCCCGAGAGGGAGGGCGGCCACTCAGTAAATGTTTGTTGAGCATGTGAATTCTGCAGGCAAAATGGGCCAACGCTACGAATGTGGGTTTTGAAGCTAGACAAGAATGAACATGGATCCGGGTTCAGCCCCGTCTACTTGACGGTGGACAAGTGACTGCCAACCCTGTTGTCATTTCCACTTTCTCTGTGCAGACGCTGCCTAAGTGCAGCCTGGACACAGCTTGCTGGGGCAGAGATGGGACGGGAGGCTGGCCACGCCAGAGGCCCTGGATGCTTGTTCCAGGTGGGGATGGTGAGCGAAGTCCTGATCTGCTCTGTGCCAGTTTTAGGTCCCAAAGGAGGAGGGGACTGGGGCTGCTGCCTCTACCATACAAAGGCTTTTCCCCTGAAGGCGCAGGCGTCTTGAGGCATTCAGCATGGTAGTTCCCAACACAAGCTCTGGTGACACAGAAAGCTGGGGGTGCGGAGGGTGCCTACATGTGCATCTGTGTATTTCACCTTAGCCCCAGCATCTGTCCAGTTTCCCCACACAACTTGCATTAGGTGGCTGGAAGGAGTAGACAGGTGAGGCGTCCGGAGGCACTGTGCCCAGTGTCCAGCTAAGAGGTGGCACGCCCTCCCCCTCTCCTTCCTGACTTTGGAGAGTCCCTGACCTCACTCGTGGAGGGGGCCACTGGGCTGTTGGCACAAGCCAGGTGGCACTTATAACAGAGGGGAGAGATTTTCCCATCACATCCTAGTCCGTGGCTGGTGGAGTGCAATCCGCACACCTGGCAAAATTAAAACCCCACGTTTTTTCTGTGAGGGATCAGGGTGGAGGCAAGACACATTCTACCAAGACGTGGTCCAGAGGTGACAGAGGGCTGCAGAGAGATGGCACAGGGAGCAGGCCTGCCTCGGGCCGGCAGCAGCCCTCCACCCTGCTCTAGCCGCCCAGTTCTGGTGTCATTACTCACCCAAGTAGGACACCTGGGACATGTCCTTCCCCTGGAGGTCCTGCAGCTCTGGAACACGTGGCTCATTCTCCTCTCCCTGGGAGAGACCCAGCTGGGCAGCCGCGTCATCTGTTCACAGGAAAGGGGAAGACACACATTCATCCGTGCTCTGCTCCCCAGGGAAGCCAGGGTAGGAGGAGGGCGGTGACTCTGGGACAGGACCAGAGGGGCGCACAACAGGCCATGACATCAACAGGGGCCAGGCAGAGCCACAGAGAAGTGGAAAGACCAGACAGAGCGAGCAGGGAGAGGGCAGGGGAGGGAGGACACTAAAGGGCCAGGTGTGGCCTGAGGCATCTTTCAGGCTTATTAGTTTAAAAACCAGCTACACAGAGAGCCTTCGGACAGGAATGACAGAAGAAAAGCAGTAAAACAGCCAGGCAATACGCCCAATTTACATGGGACTGCAGCAGGGATGCTCACTCTGCAAAGTGGCCTTGGGGCCACTATGTATAGTGACCACCCACGGGGTTGGGAGGGGTACAGTGAGGTCTGAAATGGGCCCCCTCGCCCCGTTCCTTGGTCTCAGGAAGAGAGGGGAGTTAAGTCTTACTCGGAGGCAGTGAGACCCCACAGTCCTCCCCAATGATGAACTCTCCGTAGAAGCCAGTCTGGGCAGGGTCTAGAAGGGACCAGTCCTCTTCCGAGAAGCAGAAGATCATGTCCTTGAAAGGAGAAACCCGGTTCTGAAATCAGAGGAGAACAGGTACACCTCAATCCTGGGACAAGCTAGCGGAGGGATGCTACAAACAAGTGGGAAGCAAGATGGGGCTGAGGCAGAGCTCCCAGCAACGTGTGCAGACAGGAGAAAGAGAAAGCAGGCAGGCTGCTCCGGAGCTCACACTGCTTCCCCAGTTCTAGCCTGAGATCCACCTCGTATGTATCTAGTTTGGCTGGATCCAAACAGTGGATGTCTCCCAGGGTGGCCAAGGATGTATACAGAGAACAGCCCTCCTACGCAGTGCTGGGGAGGCTGCACAGCCACAACTCCCAGGCGGCCAAATGGGGAACGCCCACCAAGTTACCGATGTGCTTATCCTTCAATGCAGATTCCACTTGTAGAGTTTATTTTTTGCACGTGGGCAGTGTGAGGTCTATATGAGCACCTTCACTGCAACATTGATGCAATAAAGACGGAAAACATCTGTGCTCGTCAACAGAGAACTGTGTAAGTGAGCAACAGGACATCCCACAAGGCATGATCACACCCCTACCAGAAGTAATAACGGACTCTCTGCACTGAGTAGGAAGCTCTCCAAGGTGTTCCGTTACATGAAAAAGCAGCTGTGCAGAAGGCTGTCTAGGTGGCCCCCGTGTGCACAGCGCCTAGATATGCTGACTGCTGGCTGCTTCTGTGGGGGTAGCTGGGACCCCCAGGGTCAGGTGCAGCAGGGAGGCTTTTCTTGCACTTTGTGTTACGAACCGTGGGAATGTGTCAAAAATTAACTTTAATTTTTGAAATAATGGCATAGCCACATAATACCAGGAGACCATAAAAATAAAAACATCATTTCCAAAATAGAAATATACATTCTTGCCAGTTAGAGCATGAAGCTAGGTTCTCAATTTCCTGCAAATACTAATACAACAATAGACTGACAGTAATGTAAATGTCATTGAAAAATTCTTCGTTTTGTTTGTAATAATCTGGAGCCTTGGTCATTTAATAGAACATTAGGGAGAAGTAAAATGTGAAAGATGGACAACTATTGGTCTAGCTGACACTTGTTTGTACCTTCTAATCCCAGAAGAACATAAATACATAAATGTATTGTTTCTACTAAGCATGTCACTATTTACTGGCTTCATAGGCACATAGTTTCTGTAGAGTGTTTCAGTCACAAAGCATTTAAAATAAATTTCCATTTTGGGTTAAAACAAAACAAAACAAAACAAGTCCTTTATAAAGTTAATCGGAAAGGACTTCAAAATAAAATTTTGAAGGGAAAAAATGCAACCCATAGTACTTCTGTATAATATACTAACATCTTTTTTTTTTTTTTAAGAATTCATAATAAACACATATCCTTGTATCTAAATCTCTGGAATTACCAGGCCCTGCCATCTGGTTGGTTGCCCTAGGGGCCGGGTGTGGGGGGTGTGGTGCAGGCATGGGAAAGGAGAGTTTTCAATGACTCTGCTCTGATACCTTTGGACTCTTCCTCCTTCACATACACACTTTAATTTTTAAAAGTAAACCTAGAGAAAACAGAGCAATACAAGGAATAGGAGGAGCATACAACTCTTCGACTAGATTCGGTAAATTAACATCGTACCCTTTGGTCATTTCCCCCCTCTCACATACATGGTAAGTGGTACGGTGGGTATGTTTACTCATTCTCCTGGATTCCTGGGGACCTGCAGGCACCACGACATGGTACCCCCATGTGCCTCAGCATGAATCTCCTGAGAAAAAAGTTACTCCCCTACATCAGCACAATTCTTGTAGCACAGTGGTTCTCAACCAAGGGGGATTGATTCTACACCCAGAGGATATCTGGCAATGTTTAGAGACATATTTTTCACCACTAAGGGGTGGGCATTACTGACACTGAGTGGGTGGTGGCCAAGGATGCTGCTCCACACCCCTGGGGCTGCACCTGAGATAGCCCAACGCAACCAAGAACCATCTAGCCAAAATGTCACTAATGCCACTCTAATACTCCCCAAATTTAATATCAGTTCAGTAATATCATCTAGTGTCTCCTGAATTATGAAATAGCATTATCCTTTCAAGGAAAAAAAATTATGAAGAGTTCCACAAGTGACTGTGACAAGAAGTCAAGATTGGGAGTTGTTGGGTTAAAGCTGTCTCGTGGGCCCCTAGAAATCTTGCTAACCACACATTGTGTCTTAAAATGTCAACCATCGGAATACAAGTGAAATTCAACAGTCTTATATTTACATTACTGCGGGCATACGTTTACAATTATTTATGAGGGTTTTTTTTTTCCGCCCAAGTCCATTTGATTAGAGAAGATTAAAATGTGGTGCTCCCCTGGGCACTTCAGGATGTAGGAAAACAGGCCTTCAAACTCGATTGGGAAAGATGCACATTTCTGGGCAATATCTGGGAGAACACAGCAGAAGCATACCCGTGCATACCCTACGATCCAGTAATTCTATTTGTAGGAGATTTTCCTAAGGAAATCATTAGAGATGTGTGCAGAGATGTGTGTTAAGGACGGAGAACACACTGCTTGGCAGAATCGTACGTGAGGTTTCTTTTCTTCTTTACACTTTTCTCTAGCACCTGAAGGCTTACTCTAAGCATGTATCATTTACATTTTATTATTAAAAATTGAAACAAAATACCCATGTACCCCCACTAAGGTGTAAAAATTATTAAAATAGGTAATAGTCTTTGCTTCAGGTTTTCTTTGAAAGGGTGTGGTATACCACAGGTGGGATTATGGTTTCCTCTGAGCTTCTCCTGGTCCCAGTCTCATCTCTAGACCTTCCTAGAGGTCAGCTGCATTCTGGATTTGGTGTTTAATATTCTATGTGTGCTTTTTAGACTCCCACTACACCTGAATATAGTTTGAAGTGACAGCCCTGTTTTGTATGTTTTTAATGTTAAACTTACCTTACACTCATCATTCTGTTTAAGATTTATTCATGTTGATACATGTAGGTGTAGTTCACTGACTTTCATGTATATAGTTTCATAGAATTATTCTACTGTTGACAATGTTCATGTTTTCCCCAGTACTTTGCTATTACAAGCAACAGCTCGATGAACTCTCTTATCTGTCACCCCATCCATGGGCATCTCTCCAGAGCAGAGATGCAGAGGGAGCATTGGGAATACACATCTTGATGGATATTAAGGATTTCCACATCGTTCTTCAAGTGGGGGACATAAGGTACAGTACCACTGGCAATGCACTGGCATGTCTGTTTCTATACACATTTGCCAACAACACTGGGTACTGTCAAATGTCTAAGCTTCTAGCAACACTGTGGGTATGAAGCACTCATAAAAGTGTAACTCCTCTTTCCTTGAAGAATAACTCTCTTTGGGGTTTACTGGCCAATGGAATTTTGTCTTCTTTGAGATGCTAATTTATTTTCTTCACCTATGTTTCTATTTTCTAATCAGTTGCTCTTTATAAACTGAAATTCTTTACTATCATAAAAGAAAAGATGACACTATTTCAACTAAAAAAATTGAAACATGTTTCAATCAACTTATGGTGGTATAAATAATGAGTAATATTAGCAATATAGAAAGAACTGCAAGAAAATGCTTAACAAATTGGTAAGGTGACTATTTTATAAAAGAGTACAAAATCAGAAATGTGGTGTGGAACAAAAAAGGGCCAACACAGAAGAGGAGGAAAAGTTCAGAAACAGAATGTGGTGCACATAAAAATTTAACCTATAAGAAAAAACAGAACCTAAATGCTAGAGAGGATGTAGAGACAAGGAACCCTCCTGTACTGTTGGTGGGAATGTTGGTGGGAGTGTAAATTGGTGCAGCCACTGTGGAGGACAGTATGGAGTTTCCTTTAAAAAACTAAAAACAGAGTTACCATATGATCCAGCAATCCCACTTCTGGGCATATATCTGGAGAAAACTATAATTTGAAAACATACATGAACTCCAATGTCCACAGCAGCATTATTTACAATAGCCAAGGCATGGAAACAAACTGAATGTCCATCAACAGATGACTAGATAAAGAAGATGTGGTACAATGGAATATTACTCAGCCATAAAAAATGACATAATGCCATTTGCTGCAACATGGATGGACCTAGAGATCATACTGAGTTAAGTAAGTCAGATAGAGAAAGACAAATATCATATTATATCACTTACATGTGGAATCTTAAAAAAAAGATACAAATTCTATTTACAAACCAAACCAAAAACAGACTCACGGACATAGAAAACAAACTATGTTACCAAAGAGGAATAGGGGGGAGGGATAAATTAGGGGTTGAGGATTAACAGACACACATTATTATACATAAAATAAATAAACAACAAAGACCTGCTGTATAGCACAGAGTACTATATTCAACTTCTTGTAATATATAATGGAAAAGAATCTGAAAAGAAAAAAATATGTATACATATAACTGAATTACTTTGCTGTAAACCTGAAACTAACACAACACTGTAAATCAACTATACTTCCATAAAGATTAAGACAAAAAAGAAAAAAACTTAAGTAAAAGATTTAAATAAAATCCAGAGACTCATAATGCAACATAAAGACATCTAGGTTTCAATAGAAGATCACTCACTATATCAAGAACCAGGAAAATGTCAAACTGAATTTAAAAAAGGACTGTCACTAGGTGCCAACAATGAGATGGCAGAGATGTGAGAACTAATGACAAAGGAAGAAGCTGTGATAAAAATGCTGTAATGAGCAATTACAAGAATGCTTAAAACAACTGAAAAAATAAAGAGCAAAGAAATAGAAGGTCTTGGCAAAACAAAAACAAAACACAGAAGATTTAAACAATAACTGGATACATCAACAATGTATGGAAACATTAGAACTGAAAACCACAATACTGAAATAAAGAGCTCAGTAGATGAGCTCAATAGCAGAACGGAGGGGCAGAAAAAAGTCAGCCAACTTGAAGGAAAAAAAAGAGAAATTGTCCAATCTGAAAAACAGAGAAAACAGACCAAGAAAACATGAACAGAGTCTCAGGTTAACTCTGG